CCACTCATAGGTGGAGATTAGTATATTGATAAGGAGATCTGATCGGTGGTTACCAGGGAAAAGGGGGGGTGGGGGGAGGGCACAGAGGGGGAAGTGGTGTACCCACAACATGACTAACAAAAACGTACAACTGAAATCTCACAAGGTTGTAATCTATCATAACATTAATAAAAAAAAATATTATAGAATTATTAACTTCCTTAATTGTGATAATGATATTGCGTTTTATAGGAGAACTTCATAATTCTTAGGAAATACATGATGGAAATTTAGGGGTGTCTACTTAACAACAGGTGTCTGCAACCTATTTCCAAAGGGTTCAATGATAATCAAAAAGTTTATGAGAAGGGATGAAATAAATATGGCAAAATGTTAACAACTGTTGGATCTAGGTGAAGGGTATACGAATGTTCATTGTATTCCTCCAACTTTATGTACGAATACTTTTTAAATAAAAAATTAGGGGAAGAAATCATGTTGGAAAGACTTCAGAGGGAAAGACTAAGAAAAGATTGAGTAGCAGGGACTATGCTGAATCTCTGATAAACGGAATTTCCATAAAACTTTGTTGGCAGTGTCTTGGGCATCCAGGAGACACCCAATATATTCCAACTTTCAGTAAATATTTACCAAAATAATATCATGTGCAGGGTAAAATGATAGGCAAAGGAATCAGATACAAACCATTCTATTGAAACATAGTAGTGAAGCTAAGAACATGAGCAGCTGTTACATAAAATAGTGGTTGTCATAAAAGAGGTACAGAAAGTGCTAGGTAAGCTCAGAGGAAATGCCTGCCTGCTGGGGAGACTCTGGAAACACATCTCCAAAGATAACTAGGACACGAATACAACATCACAAAAGGTTGGTGCTTCAGCGATTAACCTAGGAAGAAACAACAGCAGTTCATTTGGCTGGAGCATGAGTACTAAGTAAGCAGAAAGAACTTAAATAAAGAAGGTAGGTTTACACCCTTCTTGTTGACTGGCTGGGTATAAACAATTTTCAATTTACCTGAAAGTTCACCTGGTGTTTTTCCTGCAGCTTTAGGCATCCAACCCGGTATGACCAAGATGACTGTTAAGTTCTTGACTCAAGCCTACAGAAGGAACTACATGAGATAATGTGTGACAACTCTTGTAAAGAGCCATATAACAGTAATACAGTATTTTTACAATAGCCACAAGCATTAACTTCTTTAACCGTAGACACGCAGGACTAGGATAGCAGACCTTTATCCAGAACTGCAGTCAATGCTTACAAACCCCCAAGAGAGAAGAGAAAGGGAGAAAAGTCAGAATGTGAAAACAGGAGTCGGCGAAACAAGACTTAGAGGTGCTGCCGCTGTGGTGGGGGGGACCATCTTTTTCCTCTACAGATGGGAAGAGAAAACAATTTCCTCAAGCTCCCGAATTCTCCGTCCTCCAATGGTCGGGAGGTGAAAGTACTTAACAGGAACCTGCGGGGGTGTGGCCAGCAGCTCCATCTTCCCCGAATTAAGGGCTCCGCCCCGCGGCCCGCGCCCCGCCCGTGCCGGCTGGCTGCCGCTGGGCGAAGGGGGCCGGTCGAGCGGCCTCGCCCCACAGGGAGTCTCAAAGGCGCGCAGGGAGGGCGGGCCGCAGCCTGGCCAGCCCGGAAAGAAAACCTTCTTCCAGCGGAAGCGGTTCCGAGCCCCGCTCGCCTCCTCGGCTCTCCGTCTCCCAGGGACCGTCCGGCCCTGGCTTGGCCCACGGGTCGGGGCCGAGGGACACTCGACTCACTTCGCGACTCCTGTCGGAATGGGCACTCTCTGGGGCGCCGGGGGTGCAGGCTATTCCCACCCTTCCGCCATGACCCCATTCAGAAGAGCCAAATGAAACTTCCGGGCAGGACAGGGATTTTCGGAGCCCTAAACTCTTGGCCATCTAGGTAAGTGACCAGACGTCCCAGCAAAATAAAGGCCAGGAAACCCGCTCCCTCCGCTTCCCCAACCCGGGCAGGTAGTCCAGAATATGAATTAATTTGGCTAACATGGGATGTCTGGTCACCTTTGGTCTCTTTGGGCCTACTTACAGCTGCATCTCTTCCCAGACGGCTCAGCTGTTGCCCAGGGCAACGGTGACATTGGGCGAAGGGAAAACTACGTCACACTGGAGACAGGAAGCCAGAAGACTCCCGTGCCATGATCAGTTATGGCCGCCTTAGCTTCAACAGTAACTTCCGATTGCGAGTCGTCACTCTACCCTGCTGGAGGCTTACTCTGTGGCCTAGCTAGCCAGCGGCGCCCAGTGGGCAGGAGAGAAGGCGTAGAGGAGCCGAGGAAAGGAAAAGGGCGGAGAGAGGGAAGCTGGCGCCAACGCCTCACTCTGATTGGGCAGCGTCGCTTGCGCCAGTGCTTTGCTCTGATTGGGCAGCGTCGATTGCCCTGGCTCCGCCTGTTTTTCTTCCCCAGCGAGTGACGGGCCTGCGCCGGAGGGGTGGGGCGGGGCGGTAGGAGCGAGAGTGTGTGGAGGGGCGGGCGGGGGGGGGGGGGGGGGGGGGGGGCGGCGGTTGGGCAGCGTCGTTTCTGAGGAGGAGGAGGAAGGAGGGCGAGCGAGGAGGATGGCGGAGTCGGGGCTCCTGACGGTAACCGGGGGCCGCTAAGGCGGGAGGGTGTTTCTTGGTTGGTTCTTCCTGCCTTCCTTCCTGCCCGTCGGGCGGTCGGGCTGGCTGTCGGTAGGGGGAGGCCCCGCGCGCCCTGACAGGCGCGAGCCTGCGGGGCTGGGGCGAGGCCCGCGGGGCCGGGGCCCTGGGAGGCGCCGCCGTCGCCGCCGCTTTCCTGGGTGCTGTCGCCGGGAGAGCTGGGCCGCCGGAACCAGCTCTCGCGGGGAGCCCGCAGCCGGGCTCTTAAGAGCGAGCCGGCGGCTCTGACAGCCGCCCGGGCCGGGCCTACGGTGGCGGCGGGCGGCCGGGACAGCGCCCGGGCGAGGGCGAGCGGGTGTGAGGGCGCGGGCCGGGGGCGCCTGGCGGACGGTCCTGCTCCACTCGGCTCCCGGGGGCGCCGGGCCCGGGCTGTGGGGCGCCCCGTGGGCGTCCGGAGGGGCTTGTAAATCGTTGGCGGGTGCCCGGGTGCAGCGGGAGTGATACGGGGCGGGGTCTTTCCTCGGCCGCTCTCCAAAGCCCACCGCGCTCTCCCTGTCTCCTCTCTTCGGTGAAGACTGGTGAGTCGGCTTTGGGTGTGTTGCCTGGTGAAGCGAGTTGTAGCCATCCAAGACTACCCTGTTGGAAATGCTTGATGGCACCCTCTTTCCGCGGTGGCTTTTGGGGATAGAGGAAAAGTACTCTACGGCCCCCCTCCCCCCCAGCTTTTAGCGCTAAAGGCTTCAGGACAAAACGATTTTTCCCCAGCCCCTCAGTATCCATTGTTTTGTACCATCCCCCTCCTCCGCCCCGTGCCTAGGTAGAAGAATAATGGCTTCAAACCATTAATTGCCTTTTTCCCCCCTTAAATCGGCAGAGGGTTTGCCTTATTGTGTTAGTATGGATTTACAAACAGGTGGAATGAATACCCATTTGGTGTTGGAAAGAAGATGCTTTTTGTGTGTGTTTTTAAGCTTTCAGGCCTTACAGTTGGTGATTTGATTTTCTTGTCTCTTGCTTTGTATCATAATAGGAGTGATGAGAATAAAAGAGGAAGCAATGTTTTTACACCCTACCCAAAGAAATGTTTTCTAAGTCTCTGGGGATGCTGAAGCAAAATTGGGTTGCAGATGTGGACTGTATAGTATTTGTCTCCGTCATGGTAACTACCAACAGTCTATATCTAAGCTTCCACCTGTGCAATTTTGTACACTTCGTAAATATCAGCAGCTTCTAGCATGTACTCAGAGAGATTACGGTATCTAAAACTTATTTTTTGTTATGTTTTTCAGAATCCTAGGGTACACATTTGTAACCAGGTATTTTTTGTATGTAAATGTAGCATCAACACTGAAAAATTGTCTTAATTTTAAAGACCTCACTTTGTTAGCCTACTAATCTCTACCCTCACCCTTCCATGTCATAGCCCTTATAACTGTTTGTTACCGTGTATTTGAAGAGACTTAGCTATTGGGTACAATTTGTAACATTCAGTAAGCTTACATTTATAGTTTGAATTTATCAAGTGTTGATGTTTTTCTATGTGCCAGTGACAAGAATTTTTAGGAATAAAGTATATAAATGACCATTTCTTACATATGGAACTTAGACTACATATGGTAAATCTTTTAAATACTTATTTGGACATAAGGTACACTGTAAAATTTTAGTTAATTTTGAAATATATTTGAAAAAGAAATTACAGACAAAGGCTTTGTTTAAAGTTTGTAACTTTGAAATAGCTTAAATGTAATATAAAGCTAACACAATCAACTATGTTCTTGAAACGCCAGTTTCTAGGTATGGACCTGGCCCATCTCTAAGGTTACTACTCTTTCCCAAGGTGTTTGTTCAGTTTTTGAAGAAAACAATTACATTTATCTCAGGTTGGCATTTGTTTTCTGATCTTTCATTGTTAGTATAATTTTTAAGTGTTTAAATTTTTCTCTTGTTATACTTTTTATGGATTAAAGACTGATATTAAGAGATACAGTAATTGCTTGCAGCTGGATTAGTTTTTAGTTTTTAAACTGCCATATTCAGAAGGTTTATCAGAGCTGTGTTTTGATAATTGTAACAGGTAAGACTCATACAGCAACTTGTGTACTACAAGCCAAATTTGAAACATATCATTTTCCAAAAGGAACACAAAAGTTATAAATTCTTTTGTTATACTTACTGGAGTTATACTTTTTAAATATTACTGTTTCATCAGTGACTTGGGACAGGGTTTGTCCCATGTTCAGAGAAACATAAACTGTAATTCTATGTGGAATACTCTCAAAGGTGGCTTCCGAATAGCTGCTAGTATATTTTGTGCCTTGGCTTACCCATGTGGATTGTGGGGGAAGGGTGAATAAAATTGGAATTCTTTGTTATCCAGGCAGTTAAATTGCAGTCATATTTGTTTTGAAAATATGCTGGATAATCGATATCTGTTGTGTAATTTAATATTTCTGTAAGACTTTTTTCTTTAAACAATTTAAATAATTTTTAGATTTTTTTCTAGTAAGAAGATATTTAAGTATAAAAATAATCTTTCGTGTTTTTGACTAAAAAATGTACTCTAACCTACATGTGCAGATATGAGGATAAAAATTTTTTTGGAGGTTGAAGATTAAGTGAAATAATGTATCTTTAGAATTCAGTTTATTATATCATTCATGTATGAAAAAGCATAAAATCTATGCTTCTAACCAAAAAAACAAAACAAGATTCCTTCCCTCCCCCAAATAATAAAAAACAACACCCCAGCAAGTTGACCCATAATTCCTTCATTGAGTTCTGAGGTTTATAGCTTGGCCTTGCTGGAAGTGTTCTTGAAATAGTTTATAAAATATCAATTAGGAGAAGAAATTTAGATATAAAGTATACACATTGACATTTCCAAATAAGACTAGTAGGGAATTGGTAAATATTTTGCCATAGGTGAATTAGGTAGAAATTGGCTGTAATTTAGTAGCAGAGTGATACATTAAGTACTTCTCTGTGCTACATGAGAAATGAATATGTACTGCAAATATTAAATTGGTTGCTATTTTTGCTTATTGTTAGATTTCATGCATTATATATTATGTATTATAATTTAAGGCTAAATCTTTCATAGACTAAGTTATATATATATATATATATATATATATATATATTTATATTTGCTGTCCTTGTCTTCAAAATTTTGTTTTGTTTACTTGTTAAACTGCATCAAAATTATACCGTATAGATCTTTCTGGAAATATTTTCTCTGTTAAGATAATAGTTAAAATTTTGTATTTTTCTACCTCTCTGGCCACATTGATTTTTAGAATATTTCTCAGTTACAAGGTAACCTATGATGTGCTTGAACTTGATATATTATAGAGTGTTTTGAAATATAATTGTCATTCATTGCAGGTTGAAAGGAACATGAATAAGTCCAAAATTGATTTATGTTCTAAATTATGTAGTTGTATTACTTTAAGGTAAACTGTTGCTCATTCTATCTTTGGTAATTTTTCCTGGTTCCCAGCCTTTTGGCACAGCACCTTTAATTCAGCAAATCAAAGTCCTGACACATGAAAAGAATATTCTTATTACAAAGGGCTCTTTAACTTTTGAGATGTTGGTAACATATGTGCTTTTTGAGAAAGTATGAAGTTCCCATTATCAAGATTTTAAAAGAACTAATTAGATTTCATACTATATATTTAATTCCAACTTCTCTAAAGATCAGAACTGATTGCAAAAAAGTAGTGCATGCTGTAAAAGGTAAGGATTCTTTTATTGGAAAGAGTGAACATATTGCTTGAAGCTAAAACATTACAGGAGATCTTAAAGAGGATATAATTGGTCCCTATGTGAAATGAACCTGAAAGGCATTTATGAAGTATTTTGGCATGTCTATCTTCTAAGGTTTATGGCATTGTAACCATTCAAAATTTAAGCACTTTATTTGCTCAAGCACTGTTTTTAAATCGTACAATTTTAATTAAGTAATTTACAGTTGACAAAGATAAATATTTTTTCTTTAATTTTTCTAATGTCTTGGAGGTAGTGTGGAAATGACTTCTTCTTATACTGATTATGTCTAGAATTTGGAGTTAATTTCATCAGTTAAATTTGGGCTTTCTCAGTTTCTAGTTTTGTGTGGTACAACACTCCTTCCTGCTTTCAAGACTTTCACAGTTTTGCAAATAGTCTTTAAGTTAACTTTTAAATTTTGTTCTATATTTATCTTGCTAACTACAGTTTCATATTAACTAATGTCATAGATTTTCTACTAAGTGCCCTATAGGTCCCAGGCTCTGAGGATACAGAGATAAATATACTATGTTTCCTGCTTTAAGTAAGTTCACAGTTTGTTACATGAACTGGACAAATCAATAGTTAATTGTTTTACAATGTGACAAGTGCTTTGATAGCAGTATACGCTGAAGAACAGTTAAGACTGAGACTGCCAGTATAACCAGCAATGCTTACTGGAGGATAGGACCTGAACTAACTCTTGAGGAATAAGTAGGATAGGTAGAGGGTAGAAAAAGCATGTAGAGGTTAGAGATGTTAACGTCCATTTGGAGAATTGCAGGCAAATAGCAATTTGGATTCCATGTATGACCTAATATTTTAGGTGATACAGTAGGCTTTCATTAAAGCTTATATTTTTAGAGATTGTTATTTCTTGTATACTTTATTTAATTTGGGCCTTGAACTGTAGACCTGCGTTAATGTTGAGGAGCTGCTCCAAATTGTTATTTAAAACTTTTAACTAAATAATATTTTTCATTAATATTTTAATTAAATACAGGGAGAACATATCAGCCTGATGTGGAATAGTTACCAGGCTTAGAACTTGGATAATGATAATATGT